CGAGTCACCACTCCTAGCTGAGAATGCCGTGGAGAAAACTTACATTTTTGCTCGCAAACGGTGCTGAAGGAGATATGGATGAAAAGGGGCGGTGTGGGTGGGAAGTAGAAGGAGAAAAAGGTGAGCGACAGTGCTCTATCTTTCGTCCTTTTATAGTACAACTTTCGAATTGTACGACAAAAGAACCTGGAGTAGGACAGAGATTTATTTTCACAATCAGTGAGTTACTAATTTAATCTGTGACACACGATTCTGTAAAAAAAATCATCTGGATATATTCCCTGTTCCATAATAATTTATGAATGTGTAAAACATTCCGTAATATTTTTTGTTGTCATAACCTCTGCTCGCAGTCCCTTCACCGTTTGGAAGTTAGGCTTCCTCTAATAAACACCCATTTAAGCGGCGGTCCGCTGCGCTAATCACAACGATGGAGCGATATGCCTCGAGCGACGTACGTTCCACACTCATAATACCGGCGATTATATCGTCCGGAACACGAAGGCTGAACGCACTCTGTGCAAATCCTCTCTGAAAGCTGTGCCAGTGTATATATTTGGTGGTTTCTGCGCTTGAAATTCCTACCCTCTCAAAAATCGAGCAGACGAGTTCGATGCCTGCTCCACGAGTCATGCTGTTCAGAAGTACGGCGGGAGGAGCCCCAATACCTCCGGGCAAATATTTATCGAGGAACTCATATGTGGGCACATCCACTGGTCGGGAAATTGGCATGGCCTGGGAAGATCGTTCCTGTCACTTCTTTTTCTTAAGATCAATTAGCAGTCGGTGCGTTTCTGGCATGAATGTGAATGAGTCGGCGGCGAATGTTTGGGTTGTAACTCTTCTGGCGCCGGTTAATCAGAAGACGGTCAGAAAAGTTTTCCATGCGTTAGCAATACCTGGAGTGTCTAATATACGAACTATCCATGATGCATCAATCTTGGGTCTTGTTGGATTAGTAATATACCGGCCGATGCGATGGCATAGATTGATATATCCCTGAATTGATCGTTGCCAGTCGTCCTCAGATATCAACGGCATAGAGTGCTGTTGTGCGTAGCTGTTGATTGATGCGCGGTTTGCTCGAACTTTGTTGGGATGTGCGTTATCAAAGAAGCAATGGGCCAAAAAAAAACCCCGATCATCTGTTCTCGATGAGGAACTGCAAAATCAATGCTGCTCTCGTATGCGTATTTGTTCCAATAATTTATGGCCACTTGATAATTGCGCTGGGTACCTTCGGCTAGGCCTCCGTTGTTCAGTTGCTGAATCACGGTATTGTAGTTTAGCTCTGCTCTCATTTCCTCTTCAGATTGCTGCCGGGCGGTTGGTATAGCACTGCGGCATATAGACGTGTCGGTGGAACGGAGAGCCCTAGTACTTGAGCAATGCTGTCTGGGTAATGTACTACCCCGTCGTCGAGGACTGTAAGGTCGAGGCCGTGTCTGACGATGTGCGGCCAACATATGGCCTTCCGCCAAATTGGTATGATGATGACTGCTCGTTGTAATCGACGGTCTAGCTCTTGTAATATCTGGCCGAGCATGGTTTCCGGAGGTGCTAGTCGTTCGAGGGTTTGATCCCATTTGGAGTGATAGGGGTTGGCAAAGCTGACGTGTGCTTTATGTGCCTTCCCCAAGTAGTAGCTGTCCGAATATGTTCGGTCGGCTGGGTTCTGTACTATCTGCCATTTGCAGAATAGTTACAGAATGGCCTCTGACGTCACTGTCCAATGATACTGCAGTAGTGTCCC